AGTTACTGCACAAGAGAACTATATTGCATGCGCAATAATCAAGACAAGTGAAAATTCCACTCATAGCTATTCTGCAGCAAATGTATGCAAACTATGCTAGTAATGGCTGCCGCAGCGCAAATGAATCCGAAATTTTTACTGTCAATAACTCCAAAACGGTAGATTTGATCAAATTTATCAAGTCATTTTTGAATAAAGCATGTACATTTTAACACCTAAATGTAAGTATTCGGGAAATTTTTATTGCAAACTGAACGTAGGTCCTAATCTGCAAATTAACTGTTTTAGTAGTCCCGCTGATACAAAGAGAAACAAGGTTTTTTTAATCAAAAGTTATAATGTTCTAAAAAGAAGGGAAAATTTTAAAAAAATAATTAAAAATTACTTTGTTCTTTCCTCTTAATAATAACAAACATTTTTGACAATAAAATTTTGTTTTCGTCAAGTTTGGCGTCTTTTTCATTATGCTATGCTCTTTTTTTTAGCGATCTCTCGGAGGTACCAAGATGGCTTCAACTAAAACTAACATGTAATGTTGGTCATTTTGCTATAAATTATAAAATCTATTGCTGGTAATTCGATTATCAATATGTATCGTCGGTATTTTTTTTTTTTTTTTTATATAAATATGTATTGCTGATATTTTTAATTTTTACTATAAAAAAATGTATTTTTTTATACTTTCTTAATGTTTGGAGGCTCACTATTTGGCCATAACGAGGCACCTCGGCGTAGTGTAATGGTTAGCAAGCTTGTCTCGCAAGATCAATTACGACTGACTAGTGAGTTCGATCCTCACTGGGCGCCCCATACTTTAGGCCTTGTGCCACATCTAAGTGCTACTCGTTAGACTAGTTTTAGTAGTAGCATATTGGATCGTTTCTTGGCCTAGGCCTGAGATTCGATCAAGGCTTCGACTAGTTTGGACTGGCTCCGGCCGGGACTTGCTAGGACAAGTCATGACCAGCTTGGACAAGCTATGACCAGTTTTGACCAGTGGCCTTTGAGTGGAAACACTCGGGTCTCCCACGTTAAACGACCTTGTGTCACATCTTGACTTAGTGGGAGTCAAGTAAATATTGACTATTTAGCCATAACTGGGGCCTTAACAGGTGTTAACACCCCACCAAAAGGAGCCCACAGAGTTGAGATAACATTCTCCTAGATTCTCACTCAAACATACACTATGGATCAAGTCATTTTCGAATGAAGCATGTGATTGTACATTTTTTTTAAGTATTCGTGAAATTCTTATTACAAACTGAGCGCGAGTCTTAATCTGCAAATTAAGCGATAATTTTTTTTTAAATGGCTTGCACTTTGTAAAGAATGATAATTGATTTGGAATGTTGTAGAAACAATTTGCGAGCAGATTAATGCCGAAGATTATTTATTTATTTATTTCATTTTTTTAAACAAGGAACTAATTTTCTTAAGTCACTGAATTATCTCCTCTTGAATTTGATAAAAAAAAAAAAAAATTACACACGAGCCTGAAACAATTTATAATTTATTTTATTGTTTTTATTATTTATTTTTTAAGCTGTTAAAAAAAGAAAAGAAAAAGTTTTTAAGGCTAAACCGAATTTTAAAAAAAAAGTTACTAAAAACGAAAGACGACAGTCGATCTGAGAAGCAGACAGAAGTTCCAAGTTTGAAATAATGGAAAGACTTTAATTTTATCGACTTAAACAACAGGTATATTTGGGATTTTCGTTACGATTATTTTAATTATTATTATTTTTTAAATAATTGTAAGTATATATTTCTTTTGTCAATTGTTTATAAAATCTAAATATTAAAAGAAAGATTAATATGCAAAAACTCAGAATTAAAAAAAAAGGTTCTCTGTAAAAAAAAAGTTTAACAGTGTACAGTACATTTTGTTACTTTGTAGTGATTTTCCAAGCGTAGCTTAGATGTGGCACAAGGCCGAAAGTAGGGGGCACCCAGTGAGGATCGAACTCACTACTCAGTCGTAATCGTTCTAGCAAGACAAGCTTGCTAACCATTACACCGCCTCGAGGTACTTTGTATGTTACAATTCAGAGCTGATTTTCGTGGGGGGGGTGCCGATTAAAAAAAAATGATTTGCTTCCCTCAAATCCTTGTGCTTTTTTAACTAATATAATCACTAAATAATGAATTTCTAGAATTTTCATAAAATTAGTTATGGGGTGGAGGTAATAATTAGGTAATTTTTTTTATTTTAACACCCGAGCGCTAATAATAATATCCCTTCAAATTTTTCCAAAATAGTCTTATTTCCTTGCAAATGTATATGCCGAACTCAAATCAACAATTAGATATTGAAGAAACCTACCATTTTGGATGTTAACGACCCGAAAAAAATCGGACTTTTTCCTGGTCTTTCGTCATCAGCCATTACCGGCTTATTGATAAGTAATTCAGTGATGAATTTTGTTGGTGGACGTATACAATTTGGGCCTATTTACTTCCTTCACAGTAATTCCTTGTAGAGATTAGTACGCGCTTCCGTAAAGCGATTTTTTTTTTTTTGTACTTAATTTAATTTTTTTTTTAAAGAAGAAAGTTAACTTTCAAATTAGGGTTAGGTGTTTTCTTTTTTTTTTTTTTTTTTTTAAGAAGAACGTTAACTTTCAAATTAGGGTTAGGTGTTTTTTTTTTCTTCTGTTATTCTTTTATTTGTCGATGTTTACGTATATTTGAAAGTTAACTTTATTTTTAAATTAAGTACAAAAAAAAAAAAATCGCTTTATGGAAGTGCGTACTAATTTCTGAAAGAAAATAGTTCAGCAGTGAATGACGCTCGGGTGTTAAAATGAAATTTACCAATAAATATATATAAAAAAAATATATTTTTGCCATGACTTTAAAAAAGGAAAACGTAATTTCCATCATTTGTGAATAATAAATTTGCTTTTTAAGTCCCAAGCTAAATATCTATTAAAAATTTCCCAAATCATCATATTTCCTTGTAAATGCTAAACTCGAAAGTGATGCCCAAATTTTGATAAAATCTACCATTTTTGTAGTTATCGACAATAAAAATTTGGACTCTGTTGCGTTCATTTGTCCGCCATTACAGGCCTTGTTTAACTACATTCACTGCGGAACATTTTGTGTGCGGAAGCTTAATTAAGAGCCTTTTTACTGCTTTTAACTGATCTTACTCGTCTAAATTACTGCGCACTTGTGTCGAAAAGCAATGACAAGTGTTGTTATTTTTTTCAACTGTTTTTCTTTCAGTAAAGCTTTCTTTTTAAATTAAAAAAAAAATTAAATAATAAAGTTTTTCTTTTAAATTAAAAATAAAACAAATAATAATTAATGCACAAACTTTGCACAGAGCGTGATTACTAACCCTAACCCCAACGGTTTGGGATTAGGAATCATGCTCTTTTCAAAGGCCCATCATGGCGGATGAATGAACGCAGCTGAGTCCTAATTTTTACTGGCGATAACTACAAAACGATAGGTTTTATCAAAATTTGGCTGTTATTTTGATAGTTAATATTACTGAGTGGTTTTTTTTTTTTTTATTAATAAGGCTTCCATTATTTTTAACCTTTTTTTTTGCATGTAGATGATGCTATTTGTGTTGTCAACAAGTATGTTACGAATAGGGTCCAGTCGGTCTCCATGAATATTTAAATGAGATCTAATTGAGCTATGGTCAGAAAGGGGTAGAGTGAGTCTTTGTGTCAAACATGGACACAATATCTTGATGGTGTTTTGAAAATGAAAATATTATATAAATCCATACATACAACAAACTATTTCTTGTTAACAGTTAATATTTTGAAAATGGCTAAATGTATAGTCGAAAGCTCTTGGAAAAAAAAAACAGTTGAACAGTTTTTATATAATTTATCATCTGAAAAGAAAAAAAATTATTAGATTACATGAGAAATTGTATAAAAAACTAAATCAAAGCACCTTGTTTGTCCTATTCAATGAAATGTGCATAAAAGAAGGATTGCTGCCTAAATACACAACTATATATATATACTAGCAGTAGAGCCTGGCGTTGCCCAGGGGATGTAACAGTAAGAGATAGATCAAGTATCGACCATCATAAAGACTGAAAAATAAAATTGACAAAGATTATTGTTTAAGGTTGACGGACACGCATGTCTTAATTAGTTTTTTTTTTTTTTTTTTTTTTTTTACGAATTGGTCAAACCCAAACTCAAACAAAAACATTGTTTTCAATCGTTATGAGTCTACCGATTGAATAGAATTTTATTATAAACACTTGTCTTGTAAATGGAATTTTTAAAGCATTCTGAATGTAAAAATAAAGAAAAAAAGTGTGCAAGACAATAAGAAACACTACCTGCCAAAAAAAAAGTGAAGTTTTGTTGAAATCGGTTGAAAAATGTAGGAGATCCAATCCCATATATAAACGAACACAGACACACACAAACAACCTGGGTTTTATAATAAGTATAACTCGATGTGAGCTGTCCCCCTTTCATTCTCGTGATACCTGTTAATCGTGTTTTCAAATTGAGTTTGTGCAAAAACAATTGTTTTTCCAATTTTTGGCGTTGTTAGAACCACCGCAAGGTAATTTTATGTAGTCCTGTGACGTTTTGTTGAAATCGGTTGAAAAATGTAGGAAATTCGATCCAATATATAAACGTACAGACACACACACACACACAATCTGCGTTTTATAATAAGTATAAGATATATATATATCTCTCTCTCTCTATATATATATATATATACATATAATTAGAAAATTAGTTTAACATGTTTTGCCAATGAACTGGTGTCATCAGAAAAATAATTTTTTTTCATAAGAACCAAATAAACATGAGTGAGACAAAACATGATTCATGTACATAACCGAATGCTTGCCGTTTTAATTTGCGCTGTATTGTTATAAAAATTAGTGCAATTTTTAACGTTCAAACCCACAGAAAAAAAACAGTCTGTCAAAAGGACACTCATTCCTTTGGCACTGACTGTATACATGTTTAACATCTTTAGCAATGAGGCTTACATCTATATCAAGCTGAAATATCCATTCTCATATGATCACTGAAGTTAAGCAATATTGAGCCTGGTCAATATTTTGTTGGGTGACTGCTTGGGAATATCAGGTGCTGTAAGCTTGGGTGTGCAGGTGGTGTAATTGGATAACAGAATTGTAGATCAGAGAGCTGATCTCCAATTCCATTTGTGATTGTTCAGAAATTTTCTTTTCTTTCAGAAAATAAAACCCGCAGCAACAGTATTTTCTCTATCGCCCGAATTAATAACGGAAAAGAAAGAAAGAAAAAATGCAAATCAGATTCAGTTAGAAAGAAAAAATATTTATTTCTAACCAGCTAAATAAGGGTTCTTGCAAAAATTCATTCCTTTTTGCTGAGAATAAGATAACCTATTCTCTGAGTAACACAATGTAAAAAAAAAAAAAAAAAACATAGCAGAAAAACAAAACTTAAAAATTACAATGCATCAAAAACAAAAAAAAAGAATTACGCCCACCTGCTGTGTCAATGATAACAATAAAAAAAGGGGGGAGCCTTAGCTCTTTAATTACACTTTCAGTCCTTTCAAGGTTCAAAAGTTTTTATCGTTTTTCTCTTCTCTCTTGTGTAGACAAAGTTCTCTTCTTGGTGACCAAACTCCCTTCTTTTTTCACTTATTTTCCTCCCGTCCGCCTGGAAATTACCCCTTTCTTTTACGGCCGCTAGAAGGTGGAATTTTACTTTAAACACTTGGTAAAACGCTTTTTAAAAACGCACGTGTTTGCTCCTTCTTCTCAAACGGCTTTAGCTCCAAACTCCACTTATGGACTTCTTTTCAAACTTTCTTTTCTGGGGGGCTTCTTTAAGAGGACTTCTCGAAACTTTCTCTGAAGGGGAAACTTGCCCTCAGCAACTTTGTTACCCATGCATCCTTCACTTATAAGCAAATGCTGCCCGCCTTTTCAGCAGGGAGAGAGAAAAACGAACCTCTTCTCTGAGCGGTCTCGTTTCCAACTGCTGCTAAGGTCCGGTCCCAGTTCTCCCGTCCCTTTCAAAGGGGGAAATTCACCTTTGAACTGTCCAATCACAGTCCATTAAAATATATATATATATATATATATATATATATATATATATATATATATATATCAGCAGGTTCTTAGGGCCAGTAATACTGTGAGTGTCTATTGTTCTCCTTGACCTAAAAATTTTCAAAACATTTAAGGAAAGCCATCTCTTCTCCCCCCCTCTCTGTGTTAATTAGTAGAACTTCTCAGTAAATTATTATTATCTCCAAGAAATTCTTACAATCTGAACATATTTTCTGAATAAATTCTTGAGAAAAAAAGATTCCACTTAAACCCAGATACATAAGATCCCAAGAAGAATCTGCAATATTATTGGTCCTGATCTGGTGGCTCGGCATCAATCACTTTCTGACCACCGTAAGGTTGCCGCTCTGTCTTTTCTATGACTACTTTCATGGTAATTGTTCAAATAAGCTCTTCATTCATAGTGAAAAAAGACTCTTTGAATTTAACTGCAGCACTAGATTGCATTGATTAAAATTAAGATGAAAGAAATGCTTGTAGTTATGAAATCAAAAAATAATTAAATTTAAAAAAAACTGTTTTTGCTTCTTCTTTTCTTACAAGATTTTAAAAATTAAATGCCTAACCAAATATCCCCTTTTCTCTTTTTAGCTGGTTCAGTGTTGTACTAGACAGTTTCTCTCTCTAGAATCTATCATACATATATATCTATAAATCTACAATTCATCATTGAATTGAATATTGCTGCCATATATGGTATGGTGCCCCTGCCATTTATCTTGAGCTCCTTGATAAAATCCAAAGAAAAATCAGTAATATTATCGGCCCTGATCTGGCATCTCAGCTTCAGTCACTTTCCCACCGCCGTAATGTTGGCTCTCTATGTCTTTTTTATAAATACTTTCATAGTTGTTGTTCAGACGAGCTCTTCGCTACGCTACCTAGAGTTGTTGAATTTAAGTGCAGTACTAGACTGACATCAAGATCTCATCAATTTACAGTTGAGCTGGCTAGATGTAGGCATACAGTTTCTTTTTTTGTTTGTGAAACTCCCTTCCAGCTCCATGCTTTCTAGCCAACTTTAATCTGAAAAAATTTAAATGCAATGTCAATCGCTTTCTACTGTCTTCCTGATTACTTTTTTCTCTTCCCGCTAATTATAAATGTTTCTATTCCTAATAATTGTGATAAATATGGTGACAAAGATGAGGACAATAGTCCGAATACTGTAAACAATATAGAATTCCAATATATTACAGACAAAATGATTTGGAAAACAAAAAAGTTATTTCATGAAATTAACAAAACCTGGAGTGAATGTATTTTGATATACTTCCATTAACCTAGGTGATTATTTCTGCCAAGCACAATGTTAATCCTGCCAATGTTAAATTTGAAATTCTTGGTTGTGTTATCATATCCTTGTATGGCAACACCTGAAACAATTTTGACTGAAATTGAGACCTAGCCTACTGCAATTTCAAATATATAGAACTAATATATAAAACACTATATTTTGATGGGTTTCCATATACAGAAAGTAATATTTATAAATGATGCCAAGTGGTAAATGTTAATTTATTATAATATTAATTTTTATTTATTAGCAGAATACATTGCATACCTAGTCATAGACAATGCAAAACATCTGAATATCAGAAGTAAAAAGCAAGTGGGTGACCATATACACGTCTTATAGTTTGGAGATCCTTGTTGAAATTCTAGCCAAGTTCATTACTTTCATTGATGTGCAGATACCACTGTGAAAGATATTAAACTGTCTTTTAGTTTTCTCTCAGCTACAGGATAAATAGCAGAACAACCCTGAATTTAAAACCGTACATGTTCCTGATGCTGTGGTAGATATCATAAGTAAGAGGGCTTCATCAAAAGACAACTCCTTAAACAAGAATTGTGAAAATGCCTATGTAATCGATTATGCCAATCAATTATTGCGTTTAGTTTCACTATCTGTATAATAAAAGTTCACAAAGTTCAAATCTCCATGTACATGCATGCAGCCTCCTTGCAAGATCTGCCTCAGTAGGAAAATCAGTTGCTTTTATAACAGTTTGTTGGACCTTTTACACTTTACTATTCCCGGAACATGGAAATAGATTAGCATATTTTTCTGTGCACTCCATTTCACTCGGTGACAAATTAAATCACGATTGGTCAGCAAAACCTAATTTACATGAGCTCACTGGCTTCATTCAGTGGAGAGGCATTTTTCTTTCTTCCTTCTTTTTTCTGCAGAAACAAGATTCGTTTGTTTAACGGCATATTAAATCTTTATGGGTCATCTAATGCTGACAATTAATTTTCTTGGGAGCTTTGTTAATTTTTGTTTTCACTATTAAAATCTATTGCTGGAAGTTTTTTTTTTTTTTTTTTTACTATAAAAATCTATTTTTATACTTTCATAGTGTTTTGATCCCTGTTTCGGGGTTCACCATTTCCCATAGCTGGGGCCCTCACAGGTGCTACCACTCCAGATCAGGGTGGACCTGGGAACAACAGAAATTAAGAGGTGGATCCACACTCCTCAAAACCTCCTGATCAGTGGCCTTGTTGTCAGATGTAGTTTATCATCATAACAATGAAGAAACAGCATGCAACATGAACGTGTTTTGGCCTTTGAAATATGTTGTCATTTTCTTCTGTACATTTTCTTTCTGTTCTTCCACAGTAACTATTACAAAGCATTCAAACTCTAAAATGTCTCAAATTTGGTCTATATTTCTGTTGTGGCTTTGTTAGGGCCAGAAATAAAGACACAAAGAGAGAAATTGAGTTAAATTAACAGAAACAGTAATACAAACATATACAAACATGAGTGTTACAGCAAGACTGTTCGGCCCGACTGTCAGAGCTGACTACTGAAAACTTCCCTCTTCAAAAGGCAGTACCTGCTCCTATTTATAACTGGGAGAGTCCATGCTCGCGTGGGTAAATTACCATAACAATTTCATTCTTTGTAGCCTATATTTTAACTGAAAATTATAGTTACAATTCCTTTGAAGTTTTTTCAAATTTTCTTTTTCTTCTAATTGCAGTTAACAAATGCTGAAAGAATATTCTGATGGGGATATACCATTTTAGAGCCTAGAGAGGAATCGTTCTCCAGACATCAAAATGTTTTTCATTCAAGAAGACACTGATGAAAGTCTATCATGCTATCCTCAGAATATGAAGTTTGAAATTGGTTCAGAAAGTGACATATCAGTGGTTGAGTTTCACTGTGAGGAATGTGGTAAAGCATTCACTAAGAAAGGATACTTGAAACTTCATTCAAAAGTTCATACGAGAGAAAATCAATTTCCTTGTGAAATCTGCGGTAAAGTTTTCCTCACAAAGCATCATTTAAAAGCTCATGTTAGGAGGCACACTGGTGAGACACCATTTTCTTGTGAAGTGTGTGGTAATGCATTCACCCAGAAAGGCGATGTACAAGTACATATGAGAACTCATACAGGTGAGAGACCATTTCAGTGTAAAGTATGTAGCAAAGCTTTTTCTGTAAAGTGTAGATTGACTACTCATATGCGAATACATACTGGAGAAAGACCATTTCCTTGTGTAGTTTGTGGCAAAAATTTTACAAGATCGAATTCATTGAAAAATCATGTAAAAATTCACACTGGTGATGATAAAATATTTTGTTGTGGAATATGTGGCAAAACATATTACAAAATATGTAATTTGGAATATCATATGACAACGCACACAAGAGAGACATCATTTCCTTGTGAAATATGTAACAAAGTCATGTCTTCAAGAACTGGCCTCATACGTCATATGAGAATTCATACAGGAGAGAAACCATTTGATTGTGAAATATGTGGTGTAGCTTTTGCATGGAAATCAGTATTGAGGTGTCACATAAGGACTCATACAGGTGAGAAACCATTTGATTGTGAAATTTGTGGCAAAAGCTTTTCTCAGAAATGTTCCTTAAAAATTCACGTAAGGACTCATACAGGTGAGAAACCATTTGCTTGTGAAATCTGTGGCAAAAACTTTTCTCTAAAGAGTGAGTTAACAAAACATCTTAGAATTCATACAGGAGAGACTCCATTTTCTTGTG